GGAGGAGGAGGAGGAGACAGCTTTAATTTTGGCAGCCTCCAACTTAGCTGTAAAGCAACCATAATTGATTTAATGAGCTACTTGTAAGTTTGATTGGGGGGGATGAGCAAGTCCGGTGTGTCTTGAGAGGGTGGGCTTCTAGTGGGAATCAGAACACAGGCTTTTTCCATCACTGCACCTGCTTTTTGGAAGTTTTCCTCCAGAGATCTTGCTGGCTTGAACTGTATGACTATACAGTTTCTTGCTGAATGAAACTGAATTAGCCTTTTATTTTTGAAGGCACCTTTATTGCTGACTCTTTTATCAGTGACAGGGCTCCAGTTCCTCTTCATACTTACTATTCCAAGCCAAGTATGCCTGATTGTATTACCACATGTGTTTATTTACCCCCAAACAACCAGTTTTTAATTCAGACAAAGTTATATTGAATTTATTCCTCTCTTTTGAGGAATTATTCCTACAAACTTAGCATCGTTGCAAATTTGATAGCAATCCCATCCACCATTTTATCTAAACCAGACCTTATTTACACTTTTTTTTCCAGGAAGCAGGGGAAGAGGGGAATATTTTGATCTAAAGGCCAGAGGGGCATGACATGGTGATGTCATTGTGAGAAAGCCCAAAAATGTCTTCTCTTTTGCTACCCTTTCAGGCTCAGTAAGAAAAATGTGGCAGTAGTTCTGAAACACTACTTGGCACAGCTTTGGCTTCAGAGCTCTTAGGCTTGACCTCCGAAGACACAGATGTCTGGCATGGCTAGTTAGGAATCTTTATTGCATTCCAGAATGAAGCCACTAAAATAGTTGATATGTTAGCCCTCTGTCAAAATGAAAGTGCAATTCCCTCTTATCATCTTTGTAGTTTAATTCCAGTGCTTCTTTTTCCTAGCCTTCTTACAGTTTAACAGATTTTCCGCCTTGCACTTTCTGGCCTTGAATCTGAATTGCTGGCTGATGACTCCTCTGCCTCGAGAAACTCAACTCCCAGAATTGGGCTTTGAATTTGGGGAGCAGTGGTACTGAAGCATCGAAGTGGGCATGTTGGCGCTTGCAGAGAAGAGACACATTTATTTTGATCTTTCATTTTACAAAAAACAAACCGAAAACTGCCTAAAAAGATTCCATCTCTACAAATAATCTATTTTGTCACTTAATTTTCAAGGCAAATTGGGGGCTGCATGCAGGCTGGGGTGTGGTGACTTGCCCTGTCATTGATAAAACAGCTGAAAGTTGTTTTTAGATTTAGGATATATTATCCAACTCAAGTATATGAACTATCACAGAAAGTCATCTTTGAAGGTGCAATTGATGTCAATGTGGTTGATACTGAGGGGTCACGGTCCTACGAACTGCTGCTTTTAGCCTGTTGGGCCTTGCTGTGAAACAATTTATCTACTTCATTGTAAAGACTTATAAAAATGTCCCTCTATCAGTACATATTATACATTTTATATTCATCCAATAAAAATATCAGGACGCTCCTTACTTTTTATCTTTACATGTCAGTGACAAAGGGTAAACCAAGAAAATGATGGTTACAAATTACACACGGAACTCCATGAAAAATTGAACGTGGGTCTCTGCAGGGTTAATTTCTTATTAACCAATCTGCTATGTTGACGATGAAGCCATTAAACAATTTAATAAAAGCCAAGTTAAACTGACTAGTTTCTTGGAGCATAAATTATATACTAATTGAGACTTCACTTATTATTGTGTTTCTTTTTCCATTAGGTAATATAACAAATTGCAGACCATGCGACATCTATGCTGCTCAGCTGTGAAAACCAGTAACTGGTAAATATACATACGTGGGCCAATGAAAAAGTGCACAAATTTTACACAAGTCCTATCAATACAGTATTATTTTCCTGTATATATTTAAAAACAATTGTGTAAAAACAATGTTAGAATTTAAATACATCTACTACATATTTTTCAGTAATTTTCTTTCCTATTAGCTTGCTAATAATTAATGTTTAGATTTCCTTTTACATCTCAAATCTTTTTATATGTCATTCGTACTTGCTGTCGGCAAAGGACTGTACATATCATTAATTTAGGTACTTCATTTCTTTTCCAGTGTATGCTACCCTATTTGCAGTAATGGTTAGAATTAAAAAGAAAAAAATAATGGTAAATGTTAAGTGGAGGCGAATTAAGGGTCACGTTTGTGAGAGATGGATTATTGTGTCTAATCCTGGAAAAAAAAGTCTTCTAAAGCTACTTTTTGATATGGGAGAGAAGCTTCCATTGAGAGAGGATGTCCTTCTGGGTCACTGACTGAATCAGGCTGATGCAAAAGATGCAGACAGTGAGGAAATGTAAACATGGGGTTTATTCGAGTTGCTTGGTATAATGCCCTAGAGCAGTGTTTCTCAACCTTGGCAGCTTTCAGATGTGTGGATTCCAACTCCCAGAATTCCCCAGCCAGCCAGCTGGGGAATTCTGGGAGTTGGA